CGCAAGCACAATGCATGTCCAACTGTTTACATAGCACCCACAGCGCAGCGCAGCGCATGTCAAACCGCTGTCAACTGCCGAGCCATGTTTGTTGTTGTTCCTCTTTCACTTCTTCCACTGCTACTACTACTACTACTACTACTTGTTGTCAATGTTGTTGTTGTTGTTCATGTTGTTGCCTGTCATGTTTGTTTGTTATTTATAATTGTGCAACCACGGCTGTTGTTGTTGTTGTCGTGTTTTTTTGTTTTGTTTTGTCGAGCAGGTCGAAATGCATTTACCTTTACCTCTAACACACATTTCACACACACACACATATTTCCCTCTTTGCAGCATGGAGGATAACGAGCGCCGCAAAAGACGCGAACGCGAGAAATATGAACGTCAACAGGGCATACAGAGCGATGATCGTGAGACTAGTCTATTTGGTGAGCCGCGCCGCCTCAATCCCAGCGAGGGCGATGCGGAAATAACGGCCGCCCTTGGGGATTTCATCGATGCCCGGGACCATATGAACTCTTCCACGGTGGGAATCTATAGGCATGCCAGCACGAATGCCTCCAGTTCGCGTCTGCCGGCGCTCTCGTTCGGTGGTGGCAACTCGTTGGCCAACTCCTACTCATCATCATCCGCCTCCGTGAACCCAGCTGCGTCATTAGCTTCCTCATCCGCCTCGGTGCCTGGCCAGCTGCCCACTTCACAGCAGCAACAGCAACAACAGCAGCAGCAGCAGCAACACTATCAACAGCAGCAGCGGGCGCCCACCTATCTGAAGCAGGCGGATAATAAGCCGCCCTACAATGGGCGTGGCGGCTATCCCGGGCAGCCCATGAAGAATGACATACCCTCGAGTAGCGGCATGGCGCCGCCACGTGGTCCGCCCAGATCGTCATCATCCGCCAGCCAGAGCAACAGCAACAGCATCAACTCGTCCAGCGCCACAAACAATGCCACAGCGGCGGCGACATCAGCGTCCATGTCCTCGCCCCTCGGCCCGCCCCTGTCCACGCAAATGCCGAATGGCCGCGAGAAATCGTTTCTGGGGCCGCCGGCGCCGGCGCTGCCCAACGGCGGACGATTTGTGCCGCCAGCGGCCAGCAATAAGCGGCCAAGCAATAGCGTTGGACTGCAGCCACCGCCACCAGAGGTAAGTTGCAATCGATTTAGACTATCGATAACTAAATCGAAGTTGGCCGTGATTGGAGAGATTTGAAATCGAATAAGATTATCGATAGTCTTGGAGAAAATGAAATTAAGATGATTGATATGTGTCAAAAAAGAAGGGAAAAAGTATCACTAGATTGTTAAGAAAATATACAGAGCGAAATTTGAATACTTTTTAATAAAAGCTGTAAAGGCATATGGAAATATTTATCATATAGCCAAAAATACGCCCAGACAAGTGCACAGATAAAAGGAAATTGGTATGTGGCCTACTTTTGACATGGCTTATCCGACAGTTATTGAAGAATGTAATGGGAACGGTAGGAAGGAAGAAAGCCTTAACGTAATTCAAAGATATACCCAATATTTCACCAAAGATAGTATATCCAAGAGTTCCTATTCCCATACCCATTACTTCCTATTATTTACCCAATATTTCACCATAGTTCTTAATAGATTATACAATAACAATTTCCCTTTGCTCTCAAAATGATAGATCAAACAAACACCCACAATTTCCTATTGTAATTGTTTTGCCATAGTTTATAGGAAACGTAAGCTTTGTAAATAAAATACTAAAATTAGAAAAGGAAAACTCGTTATTTTGATCAGATTCTCTACAGGATTTCTTTTTTAGCTTTATGAAAACCCTAAAGAAAACTATAGTTGGATCTAGATCAGATATTGATTATTCATTTTATACATCATATATTATATATTCATTTATTTCTAAGAAATACTAATTCCTTTTCTCTCTCTCTTTCTCTCCCCGTCTCCTGCAGAAGGATATTAGCAAAATAATCACCGAAATGACCAACAACTATCGCGTGACCCCGCTAACTTCAATCGCGGCCACGCCGCACGCTCCCATGTCCGAGAACTACAATCTGAATGGGCCCAATAAGTTTAAGTATGCATTTGATTCCATCGGCCCCCTCAACTCACCGCCGGCGGCGGGCGCCTCCTCGCTGATGACGCCGCTGCTGGCGCCCATAGCGCCGATCACCTCGCCCATAGCGCCGCTGCTGACGACGCCGCCGCAGGCCAGCCAACTGCCCTTGCCGCTGGCACCGCTGGCGGGCGCCACAACGGTGCCGCCTGCCCTGGGGGGCATGGCGGCTGTGGCACCCAACCAGCAGCTGATGCCCACGCCCCCGAAGGCGTCGCCGACGCCGCCAGCGATAAAGCCGCTGAAAACGGAAAAGAATCATTCGCTGGAGAAGCAGGACTCGTGGTAAGTGCGGGAGGGGAAGAGTGAAGGTGTGGAATATGGGGAGAAATACAGAGTTAAAGTAATTGAGAATGTTTATATTATAAAGGGTTAAAATGGCGAGAGAACACTGGGAAATATTTACCGTAATCGACAAATTATGGGACATATTTAGTAATAGAAGTTAGACCTCGGATTATGATATACTGTGTTATATTCAATGACATACTGACTACAATTAATGACTCCAGTATTATTTTTGAATAGGTAAATAATAATGGGAGATATTGATATTGGCATATATAAATATGGGGTAAATTAATCAGTTATTGATCATTTAAGGAATGGAATAGGAAATGCTGATGTTAGTATATATATATGGGGAAAATTTTGGAGTTATAGGATATTAATACAATAGAAGGAATGCCTAGGATGAAATAAATTGAAAATAGTAAATGTGGATATTCAAGTTTGAAACAGTCAAGTAAAGGGGAAGCAATTTAGAAAATAATATAATGAGTAATAATGACAATAGTTTTTAGCTGTTGCTAATATGGAAATAAACCGAGGAAAAAAATAAAAATAATAATAAAGACCATTATTATAAGAATGCTAAATATAATTGTTTTTAGTGGAACATATGAGAAGTAATGGATGATATTCAGGAATTGTGGCAAGCTTAATAGTGGGAAATACTATTTACCATTATATACGATAATATAATAATTATATACCATTATTATGAGTTATTACTCATATATTTATTCAGAGAGACTAATGCAAATAATTTTTGTTCAATTTTCAGCCTTGAGAACGATCTGGAACTATCCGAATCTGATGATGAGCGCAAAAAGGATGGGTAAGTTGAACAGTTTTACAAGCACTGCTTGGATAGTCTAACTCTATATCTCTCTCTCTCTTGCAGTCGATCGGCTGGCAACAGCAGCAACAGCTCCGAGTCGGACTCCAGCGAATCGGGCAGCGAGGCAAGCAGCAAAGGTGATACGCAGCAGCAACAGCAACAACAGCAGCAACAGCAGCAGCAGCAACAACAGCAGCTGTTGCTCCAACAACAACAGCAGCAACAGTTGCTGCTGCAACAGCAACAACAACGGCTCGCTGCCAGCGCCAATGGCAGCAAAAAGAAATACAGCCAAACGATAATTGCGAGTGGAGCGAATACAATCAGCGGGTTGCTCACGTCGAGCGGCTTGGGTGGTGCTGGTGCTGGTAGTGTGGCAGGTGCTGGTGGCGCCATCAATTCCACGAACAACACATGCAGCGGCGGTGGCTCAAGCGGCTCCTGCATGGGCACCATGAGCAGCTCCAGCTCATCGAACAAGACGCCTTCGCCCACGGACAGCAATCGCTGGAATCTAAGTCGTTTCTTTCCCAAGCCAGCGAACCAGACGGCCGCCGAGAGTGTGTCGCCGGGCGTGGCCAATGCCATGGGCAATGTGAGCATGAAGGTGCCCGGCATCCTGCCAGGCGGTGCACAGATCATACCCGAATCCATCGACGTGACCACGGCGATTGTGAAGAACGAGAAGCTGCACGACGAGCCGCGGCACGTGGACGACGACGAGGATGACGAGGCGGATGAGCAGCATCAGCAGCAGCAGCAACAGCAGCAGAGATATGGCTTGAGTGTGACTGTAAAAAAAGAGCAACTGGAGCAGCAGCAGCAGCAGCAGCAACAGTTGCTGCTACAACAGCAACAGCAGCTGACGACGGAGCAGCTGGCGCTGGCGGGTGCCTTGCCAAAGAACCAAATCAAACGCGAGTCCCGATTGTCCGACTCCGGCAGCGCCAGCAGCGGCAGTGGCAGCGGCAGCAGCAGCTCCGACAGCGCCGGCGGCAGCAGCGAAGTGTTGCAGATGCCCGGCCCGGGCGAAACCCTGCAAATACCTGGCGTACCTGCGGCGATAACAACGGTGCTGCGCGTGCCGCCGGCAATGCAGCACAAGGTGCAGCCCAATAGCGTCACATTGACGCCCATTGGGCCGCTGCCGGCGTCGCCGAAGCCGCGGCAAAAGAAGCCGCGCAAGAAGAAAATGTCGGCGGCAACAGCGCCGCTGGACTCCAGCGACGAGGACGAGCCGACGGCCAGCAGCAACAAGAAGCATGCGCTGGAGCTGGCAGCAACAGCAGCAGCAGCGGCTGCCGCGGTGGCGGTGCCGGTGGCAGCGGCGGCGCCAGCGATCAAAAAGGGACGCGGCCGGCCACGCAAGCAGGCACAGCAACAGCAGCAGCAGCAACTCCAGCAGCAGCAGCAGCAACAGAGCGGAAATCTGAGCAGCGCCTCGGCGAGCAGCTCGCAGGCCAAGGGACCAACGTTGACAGCGGCCAAGAAGCCGCTGGCCAAAGGCAGTGTTGGCAACAGCAACAGCACGGCGCCAGCAACAGTTGCTGCGGGCACACGCAAGCGTGAGCACAGCAGCAACAGCAGCTCCAATAGCAATACGCCCACCAAGAAGCCAACAGCAGCATTTGCCACGATTGCGGCGAAGCTTGATCGTGCCGATGCGCTGAGCAGCGAAGACGACAGCAGCAGCAGCAGCAGTTGCAGCAGCACCAAGTCGAGCAGCAGCAGCGGCAGCGACAGTGAGACGCCAGCAGCAACCACGGCAGCAGCAGCGTCGACAGCAGCAACTGCTGTAGCGGTGTCCGCACAGAATCCCGCCAAGAAGCGCATTGTGAAAATTAATAAAGTGGGCGTGGCCAGCAACAGCAGCAGCAGCAGCAAGGCGAAGCGTCGCTACAGCGTTGGTAGCAGCAGCAACAGCAGCAGCGGTAGCAGCAGCGAAACGGAAGAGCAGCAGCAGCAGCACAAGCAACAGCAACTGTTGCTGCTGCAGCAGCAACAACAAAAGCAGCAACTGCAGCACCAGCAACAATTGCAGCTGCAACAGCAGCAACAACAACAACAGCAGCAATCGCTGCTGGGCCACTTTGCGGCTGAATCGCTGCCGCAGTCGGCGCAGCGCTTGAGCAGCAGCGACTGCAGCAGCAGCAGCAACAGCGACAGCAGCAGCAACAGCAGCGGCAGCAGCAGCAGCAGCGACGAGGACGGCGAGCATCGCAGCGGCAAGCGCAAGAGTGATAAGAAGAAGATATGCACACTGACGCGCATCTTCAATCCCAAAGAGGGCGGGGCCAAGAAACAGGGTCAGGTTGTCATCATCGATCAATCCGAGGAACAGCAGCAACAGCAGCAGCAGCAGCAACAGCAACAACAGCAGCAGCAGGCCAAAGAGCTTAAGCCGCGTGCCACGCCCACACAGCTGCTGGGCGCCACACTGGCATCGCCGGCAAGAACCACCACGCCCCACTTGACCTCGCTGATGTGCAAAATCGATCTGAGCAAGCTGGCGCGAGTGCCGCCCGAGTGGTACCAGAATAGCTACAGACTGTACGCGGCTGATGGACAGCATCAGTCGCAGCACCACCACCAGCACCACTCGCAGCAGCACCACCATCAGCCCGAGAGACTGAAGACGCAGCAGAACGGCCATCTCAGCAGTCGTTCCGCCGAGGGCGCACGCACGCCCAAGGATCTGCAGCAGGTGTACACGCCCAACGGGTATGTGAGTGGTGCGGCAGGTGGTGGCGGTGCAGCGGCTAGCAAGCTGCTGGGCGGCGTCAAGCACGAGCATGGCGTCAAGCCCGAGCCGGAGCTGGAACCCGGCTACGAGGGCAAGTACAAACTGAACAGCGTTAAGCAGGAGTTCATGCTCAAGCAGGAGTTGCCCGCGCGTCGACGCAAACGCAGCTCCAGCTCCAGTTCGAGCCCCTACAAGGAGAAGAAGCGAAAAAAGGAGAAGGCCGAACAGCTCAGCAAGGAGCTGCTGCCCGTGCCGGTGCTGCTGCCTGCCAACAATCACGAGCGATTATCGCGCGACAAGCTCGAGCTGCTCATACAGCAGCAGGAGAGCGCCGCCAATGGCAGTCCCAACAAGTTGCAGCAGCAGCAGCAGCAGCAACAGCAACAGCAGCAATCGCGATTGTCACAATCACAGCAGCAACAGCAGCAGCAACAGTCGCTGTCACAGTCCACAGCTGCGGCAGCAACAGTTGCCGCTGTGCCCATCCAACTGCCAACCACCTGCAGCGAAGCGGTGCAAACGACGCCGCCACCAGCAGCGCCCCAGCCAGAGCCGCGTCTCATCTATCGGTCCCACTTTGACAAGGAGGAGGAGAACGAAAGCGACGATCTCAGGTGAGCAATGGTCAATGAGATATATCGAACGAGCTGAGATTGATCTAGGCAAGCCATTTCCCAACGGGACATACTCCAAGCCGCAATCTTTTCTCTCTGAGAGTTAGATCTAGCAATGATAGTCGGTTTGGGTATTTCCCAGTTGGGCTCTCTCTCTCCTCTCCCACTCACATTAATGCGCTCTTTTGCTAATCCATCTTTCTCTTTATAGGAAAAACGACTTTCTGCTACAGGAGGCGATCAGGCGTAAGCGTGCCGCCGATTCGGAACGTGATTCGTTCAGTCAGATGACGCTTTACCTCGAGGCGATCGTCTACTTCCTGCTCACCGCCGATGCCATGGAGCGGTGCAACATGGAGGCCACCTGGACCATGTACAAGGACACCCTGTCGCTAATTAAGTGAGTAAAGTGTGGAGCACATCTAAACAAAATTATAAAAAAAATAATTGTTATTTTATATTTAGTATTTTTATAATAGCTATGAAGAGTTGATTTTGTTATAAAAAGTTAAGAAACAATCATAGGATGAAAAAATAATTATATTATAGTAGAGATTTAAAATATAGACAAATATGAAAATTAAATTATAATATTGAGATTACGAACATAGATATATTTTTTAAATATTAAAAAAAAAATTAATTAAATTCAAGCAAAAAAGATTTTAATTATATAAAATGCAATATTAAAATATAATACGTTGAGAATGAATTCAACAATTAAATTTGTTTGGTCATAATTAAGAAGAATTAATTATATACAAATCTCATTAACTTTGGAGAACATTTTAAAATATTAAAATTTGAAGATTTAAAATATAAGCTTTAAAAAAATATATATATGTATTTATATTCATTGACTGATGTCATTGATGTCCAGTCAAAGAATATAAATAAATATATTTTTTAAAAATCAATTTATATATATTTTTGTTTGCCAAATTTAACTTTTTAAGGTAATTATTATTTTTTTTTTTTATTAATTCTGCAAATCTTAAATTAAAAAAAATTACACTGCTTAATATATAAATATTGAATATTTTGAGAACTAATTAGATTATATTCAATATATAATTAGATTAAATATTCAATATTTTATGAACTAAAAACTTTTGATAGAATTAATACAAATTTAATAGAATCTAATTTATTTAAACCAACATTATATATTCTTTTTCATAAATTTTTTAAGTATATATTGTTTATTATTTTTCAATTGTGTACATAATTGCATATTAATTATTTGTCTATTCGCAGATACATTTCCTCGAAGAATCGACCGTATCAGCTGTCAACGAACGGAAATCATGAATCGCACAACATTGTGGCCATACTCAGGTGAGTAATATCTCTTGATAAATAGATGAATTACTTTATTTAACTTTAATCTATCTCTATCTCATTCTCTCCGACTCTCTCTCTCTCTCTCTGTTCAGTTTGCGCTGCCAATCACTGATATCCTTAAAGCTTTACAAATTGCGACGCGTCAATTGTCGTGCAATTATCGCCAGTTGTACCGAATTTTTTCGCTCTGGCAGGGGGGATATACTGAATGGCAATACGCCGTCCTCCATATCACCATCGAACTCAGTGGGCTCTCAGGTGAGACAACAATTATAATTACAAATATATAGATATTAATAAATTGTATGCATTATTCGCTATCAATTAGGGCTCCGGTTCGAATACGCCGCCTGGCAAAATAGTGCCTCAAGACATACACAATATGCTGTGCAAGCAGAATGAGTATCTCACCTATGTGAACAGCGCTCACGAGCTGTGGGATCAAGCCGATCGTTTGGTGCGCAACGGCAATCATATAGGTAATGTAAAGCCCCTTAACTATACAAATATATAAATATATATGTATGTAACTGCTTGGATCATACTATTTGACTGACTGATTGACTGCTTGAGTGCTTGATGAACGAACGGTTCAAACTGAAAGCTTGGGTGCTACAGAATTGGGTGCAAGAGCAGCTCAAACCAAGAAAGTCCTTTAGCATTGTCCATTTATATGGTAAATATATATAAACAAATATTAACTGTAGAATATTTACAAAATATTCCAAATATTGTTTATATAAATTGCCTTGTTTATGGTACAAATATGTGTTTCTATTTAAATATATATATATTATTTTATAGATAATATATATAGAGATTGTATTTATAAATATTATATATATATATATAGACACCTCAAAAATTATCTCAAATATAATATATATATTTTTTTTTTATATATTTCTTTATTATTATTACTATCATATTTTTGCACTCGCATATTAATTGTGTTTATTTTGTTTTCCTCTAACTCTATGCAGACTTCATACGCAAGCTGGATCATGAGAATGGGCCTTTGACGCTGCACAGCACCATGCATGAGGTGTTTCGGTATGTGCAGGCGGGGCTTAAGACTCTACGCGATGCTGTCTCGTATCCCCAGTCGCAGTAGCGATAACAGCAACGCCAATATCAACAACAACAACAACAACAACAACACCAACAGAAACAACAACAACAACAACCGCAACAACATCATCATCACCACCAAACGTGTCTAAATGAAAGTCAGGCCAAATTAGCAACTATTATTAATACTATTATTATTATTATTATTATAAATTATAATTATTATTAAATTGTATACTATAATATATAAAGCGAACGGAAAGCGTCAGCAAACCAGCTACTAAAATTAAGTTTAGAAAAGAAAAAAAAAACAACTTCCAACAACTGCAACAACAACAACAAGTTCATACAAAGTTACTCTTTTTTATGCACATCATTTACTTATTTCCTTATGCTCAATTAATTACGTTTGGTTTCTTTATATATATGCTTTTCGTTAGGCAGTTTAAGCATTGTATTTATGCCTAGTTTTAATTGATATTACAAAAAAGAAAAAATATTAAACTAAATCAAGTTACTCTTCTCTTAATACATTTATATATATATATTTATGAGTATATATATATATAAACATGTTTTCATAGCTCGTAAACATCAACATAAACAAATTTTAGTTGAATTTTTTTGTTTTTGTATGGCACAGAAAAAAATAAAAAATGGCTTTTTAATATTTAAGTTAGTTAATTTTTCTTTGTCGTTTGCACATACATATATATATATATATATTTGTATATATATATTCTCGCTGGCCAAAATTGTCATATGCGCCTTAGAAAAAACAACAACAACAGCAACACTTTTTATATGTATATAAGCTAGAACCAACAACAATTAAGTGAAAAGCAAAAACTAAACTAAACTCTAATGCAAAAAAGAAGCAAATTCTTAAAAAATGTAATATTAGTATGGTTTTCATTAAATTAATTTAAATGCAAATTTTTACTGTTTCATAAGTTTTAAAAATGCGTTAAAAACACCCACACACACCACAACCACACACACACACTATATTATGTAGTTATATATACTGATTATGTTTTGTAATAATATTATTGATTTTAAAACTAAAGATTCTGAAAAGAAAGCAATCACGTTTTTAGAACAAAATTTCATGAATGAAAGAGATATATATATGTACATAACTATATATATATATATATACATATACATATTATGTATTTAAAATATATCTCATACATATGCAAAAGTTTTTTGATTTTGTTTTATTTTTACTTTGTTTGCTTTTAATTATTTTTCGCCCAGTTTTTGTGCCTGAAGACTCACAAAAAATATCAAGATATATATTCATATAAAAACAGACGCATCAACTAATAGTGCATTAGTAGTTCTTAAACGAGTTCAAATTAAAAAAATGAAAAATGAATAAAACAGCAATTTAATCAATAATAAAAAATAAAAATCAATGACCCCGCCCCTTTTGAAAACAAAAAACAAAAAGTATGAAGCGAAATCAGCCAGTATACAATGTACATACATATATCCGACATATACATGCATATATATATATATATACATATACATATATTTTTTAATATGCCAAAGCGAAAAATCAAGTTGTAGTCGATAAGCCGAACATCGTATTAAAACAAACAAAAAATGCAATAAACTAATTGTAAGTCGTTGATCTAAAAGTGACAAATGGGCAGCACTGTTTTGTGCCCAATGGGCATCACTTTGGCTTGGTGTGACGGCGAAGCAAAGCCAAATCGAACACAAAGAGAGAAGCAAAGCAAAACGCAGCGAAAAACAAAACTCGAAAATCAAAGCGAAAAACGTAACGAAAAACAAACTAAAAGGCATGCAGAAAACAAAAGGTAAGCAACAATTTAACACACAAATATACATATATTGTGTACTTAAATGAAACAAAATGTGGTTCTGGGGAAACAAAGCATTAATCTTTCAAAAAAAACGAAAAAAAGGAATTACTAAAAACCAAAATAACGTAGTCAAATTTTAAGTTATCCATTCATATTAAAAGCTAAATTCGGCGAAGACGAATTTTCAAATGCCCTTGCAACTGAGTTGCATATAAATATGAGATGCGAGATTAATTTGGTCAAGAAGTGACGGAGTTTATATTATATTTCAATATTGAATACATTGTTCTGCTAATTGGCTAGTTGAATAAATGCAAAAAAGCTCAGAGTGCAATTTTATAATTATTATTTTAAAAATCATTTAAAAAGTGAAATGAGTATATTTATTTGGTTCACTCAATATTCGCCTTACAGGTCATGTGTGTGTGTGTTTTTTTTTCTGAATAAATATTTTGTTTGAATTCAATGGAAAAGTTTTTTATAATACATCGCTCAGAGGTTTTTTTTGTTGTATGTAATATTATTCAAATTATTATTTTGATTATTATTATTTTATTATTTAATATTTTAATACTAATTTATTTTAATTTCCTGAAAATTTGATTATATTTATTTCTAAAATTTTAATTAAGTCAGTGCAGACTAAATTCTGAATATTTTAAAATAAAATCATATGAATAACTGCTTTTGCATATAATAAAATTGTATTTTAGTTTAATTTTTTTGTATAAAATTGATGAAAGCAACATTTTTATTACTGTTGCAGGGGCATTTTTTTTAAAAGTAAATAAATAAATTTAACAAAAAAGCAAATGAAACGAAAATATATTAAATATCGTAAAGCGCAATTTTATTGTGAGCAACTTAAATTTGTAATTATTAAATTTAAAAAAATAAATATTAAGAAATTTATACATGCCTATATATATACAATTATGCATGCATATACGTATATGCATGTGTGTATATATGTATTGTTAAACATTTTCAACGCTGTAAATAAAATGCAAATTTATATTTAATAAAAAAAAAACAAAACACAAAAACAAACTCACAGACAGATTAACACAGACAGACACAGACACGGACACATACATACATATTAATATGTATATCGATAATTATATACACACACATGAACATAAGCATACAAATATATATACACACTTATATATAAATATATATATATATTTTTATATATATACAACTAAAGAGAAGTAGAATCAGAGGCAGGAAAAACCTTAAATTATAGTTAAATTTTTCAAACAACAACAAGAAGCAGCAATCTTGCAGTAAATATTATAAATAATATACAGCAAAATGAAAGATAAGATAAACAACAACAACAACAACAACAACAATATGAAACGAACACATGCGCCTAGAGGATTTAAGATGCGAAGAAGAAGCATAGTTAATAATTATATTTTGTTAAGCGTTATTGTAGTGCAAAATATAAGCAAATACAAAATAAATAAAACAAAAAAATGAAAACAGAATTAAGTTTTAAGCTGAAGTTAAGCAACAAGAAAAACAAAATAAGGTAAAAACTGAAAAATCAACAATTGATAACAAAACGAAATCGTTCATTAACATAGTAAAGGTAACAAAACAACTTACGTTTAAGTAATAAAAATATATATATTATATATTTTGTACAAATATAATTAATAAACAAGACGAATGAGATATGAGATATGAAAGAAAAAAAAAAAAAAAACAGCAACCGCAGCAGCAAAAACCAAGTACACTTATTAAAGTTTAAGCAAAACAAAAACAAACAAACAATTTAATATGCAATTACCGTAAAAGTAGTTGATAAATCAAAATAAAAAACCAAAATTGTAACATTTAAAAAGAACCCGAATACTTTTACTTATTCAAATTGCGCGCGCACTTTTGATTCTCGCCATTTGTGTGTGGCGCTGTGCGCAATTCGCCGCACCGCCACCTCATTCTGTTGGTCAACAGACTTCTGTTAAGTTTAACAGCACAATATGCAAAAATTTGCAGGCGCTGTTAATATTAAGCACTGAATGGATTTTAATGATAAATTTAATAATTTACAGCGTTTCTTTCATATTACATTTGCATTAATTTTTATTTTTTATAGTCAAATAATAATTACAGAATACTGTTAGCATGGAATGTTGGCAAAAATAACCGTTTCCAGTGCTGTAAAGTGTAGCGTGGCGACGAATTTCACATTTTCCAATACCCACGCGCAGTTTTTCGAGTCAGTGCGCTGCGCCACAAGCTCAAGTGATTTTTTTGAATTGAATTGTTTTCTCGTTTGTTTTGCCTATTTTATTTAATTTTGTATTATTTTTTGTTGAAATACTTTTTTTTTTGTGCTCTACGTTCTATATATAATTGTGTCAAGCTTGCGTTGTATGTAGATATATGTACATAAGAGACACAACAGAACGCAGTGCAGCTTTTAGCAAGAACTTACTCAGCATTTGCTCGCGCGCCATTTTGAATTCGAACTGGTGCACGTGATTCACTTGATTTGCTTTGTTGCTGGTGAACATGAAACATCAACGCAATAACAATGCGGAGGAAAAGAAGAGCGAGTTACCAGGGCCAGCAGTGAGCCGTGTAACTAAAACTCAGCGACGCCGGCAGCAGCGACTGAATCAAAAGCGTCGCGAAGCTGAATCAACAGCAGAGCCCAAAGACTGCGTCGCGCGCTCGTTAGCAGAACCAGAAGCCTGCGTCACCCGCTCAGCAGAAGTCAAGGCAGGAGATGGGCAGAAGAAGAGAAAAGCCGCAAAGAGAGAGCGCCGTCGTAAGCGGCGAATTCGTAAACGTAAATCAAAACGAAACGAGACGGCGGTCAGCATTGACTTAGTGAATGATGTCCAACTGGGCGACTCAATGGACTCTTCGATAGACTTGCCATTGGAAAAGCCGCCACTATCACTATTGGACATTGATGAGTTGTTGCTCACGCCAACGCCATCGCCATGGCCGACATTGTCGTCCACGCCAATGTCAACGCCGCCGTCGAATGTGGAGGCAGAACCGAACGCGAATTCGACAGCAGTCAGTGAGGAAGTCGAAAGACCACAATGGCGTGTGCCAATAGGCGAAGAGATTGCCATTAAAAAGGCATCTGAACACCAGTTGAAGCAACTTGAAAATGAAGCAACTGATCAGACTGACTGCGAACAGTACCAGGCAGCTATATGGTCATCCGAGACGTTCCAGCCGTCAACCAATTCCACTAAGAGCGCGTGGGTGGGAAATTTGAATGGGATAAACAAGGATATGTCTTCATATGCTGGAAACGATAATGTGCAGGCAACTAGTTATACCCAAGGCATGTTCAATACTAACAACATCCACAATAACAACAGCAACATTGAGAACAACAACAACATCGAGAACAGCCCAAATTATTATAGCAACAACAACATCGAGAACAATCCAAATTATTATAGCAACAACAACATCGAAGTCAACAATAACATTAATAACAGCAACAACAATCACAGCGTCGAGTACAACAACAACATCGAGAACAACCAAAATTATTATAACAACAATGACAACAACATTGAGATCTACAACAACAGCAACAGCAACAACAACATCAACATCAAGAACAACAACATCGAAAACAACCAAAATTATTATAGCTACAACAATAACAACAACATGAACAACATCAGCTATAACGCTTGCTATGTGCCACAGCAGCAGCCGCTACAACAACAACAACAACAACAATACTTGTATCAGCATGAGCAACAATATCAACATGGGCAGCAGCTCGTGCAACCACAGCACCATCAATGGTATATGCTCGGGCAACAACAACAGCAGCAACAACAGCAACAACAACAATGGTGCCAGCCACAATGGCAGTACCGTGAACAACAATCATGGTGGCAGGGCAACCAACAGCAACAGCAATGGCAGCATCCCCAACAGCAACAACAACAATGCTGGAAACGCCACCAACAACAGCAATGGCAGCATCAGGGACAACAACAATGCTATCAGCGCCGTCAACAACAACAGCAATGGCAGCCACAAAGACAACAGCAATGGCAGCCAAATATGCAGCAACAACAACAACAATGGCAGCAAAATGTGCAGCAACAACTACAACAACAATGGCAGCAAAATGTGCAGCAACAACCACAACAACAATGGCAGCAAAATGTGCAACAACAACAACAACATTATCAACATAATATTGGGGCTCAGTGCATGAAAATCTCCTATGTTCCAAATGTTATTTACACTACACGTCAGGCTCAGGAGCACGCTTTCCAGCATTGCAATTAGTAAGGTGAGTCTCTGGAAGTTATTTTTTGTTTAGCGCCTCTGATCGAATTCATATACCCCTCTGTTGCACGCATATTTTCAGTTTACAGTTCTGAGAGGCAGGAGTTAGAGCTGTTAAAAGCTGGCATAGGTTTAGCAAGGACTGCTATAGCCCTTTGTCACTTAGGCCTGGTCAATATGAAGCAAACAGTTCATAACTGATGACAAAACATTTTCATTAAAGTATAGAATTAGAATTATTTTTTGCATCTTTATGAAATCACAATAATTATTCATAAAAAAATAAATAGAAGAAAATTGGAAATGGCAAATGATTTGCATTCGATGTGTGCACAGTTTGACATGCACTGGCCACTGTGTTTACTTTTGCAGAGCTCTGGCAGTCTCAGTCACACACACACACATAAGTTACACATACGTAATAAGTATATGTTTATATGTATTTGCATGTAAACACTTGCTGCTTGCGCCACATAGGCAACCACAACAACAGCAATAGCAACAACAACAAAACAATGCACGGAGCTTGCTGAGAGCGTTTTTGTGTTGTTGGGGTTGGGATTGTGGTTGGGGGTTCAGTAGAAGTGCAACTTCCCCCGCACAGAGTTCAATGGTCTTTTGACACAAATGATGTCAAGTTGAGCTTCTTGCTGCCTGGTGCAGTCGGTGTTCGGCTATCGGCTCATTTGCACGCCGCTCACTGGCAGCACTAGCAGCAGCAGCCGCAGCAGCACCAACATCAGCCGCCGTTATAACCCAGCTAGCAAATCCTTTGTGTTTCTATGTTTTACTGTTTGTTTGGGTGCCTCTTTAACTGTTGGGCCAACGATGAGTCTGCTGCTGATATGCGGCCGGCTTCTCTCTAAAGCTCTCTCTCACTCACTCACTCTCTCTCACTCACTCACTCTCTCTCGGTCTTTCTGCCCTTCTTTCCCCGGGCAGAGAACCTACCGCAATTTGTTTCGTGTTTGTGTCGGCGTCATCGCTGCATTTCCTTGTTTATGTTTTGTATCCAAATGTAGGGTATTCGGCTAAGTGCTGAGGCGTGAGTGAGAGAGTGCGAGAGCGAAATAGAGAAAGAAGCACGTATACTGAGAGGAGAGCATGTGCAGTACCGTTGTATTGTTGACTGACTGTTGCAGCGAGTGCGGTTCTGCTGACGCTGTTGGCGCTGCTGCTGGTGCTGCTGTACCTGCGCATTCGGCGCTGCAGCTTTTTGTTATTGTTGTGTCGTTTCATCTTCCGCTTCTTCTTCTCCTTTTAGTATAGCATATTTCGTGTTGGCTGCACAGTGGTGCGCAATGATCTCAAATAATTTATTGAGAAAGAAAAAGAAAGGATATTATATTTGCAAATTAAATTAAAAGAAATTATTATTTTAGTCTTTATAATTTAATAGATTCATATCCTATATTTCATATATTAAATATTTACTTTCACATTGAACATAGAATGAACTCTACTTATTTAATGAGAATTCATTTGATGTGTAAATATGCAATGTCTACATAAAACAAAGACGGTAACAATAAAATTAAATAGATATTTACAATAATAAATAATATATATTTTATATATTTAAATATCAAAATAAAAACATTAATCTTCATTTACAATTATGTAAATATAAATCTTCATTCAATTCAATAAATCTTCTTCAATCAATTGCGTGAATTTAAAATCCACTACAATTAACATTTTGTTTACCTAATTATTAAAGCTCAGCTTTAATGCTTTGCTCCACTGTTCGGTTTAAAAACTACGCAGTTTTGTTTCAGCTTTCGCCTCGTCCGCTGTGCCGAGCAACTGTACAGCTCAATAGGGAGAGAGTAGCTGCAGCAAATGACTGCGCTGTTGGCGTTGACGTCGACGTTTTCGTTGTCCTGGCTGCATTTGTCCTGGCGGCAATTGAACACTTTAATCATTTAGTTCTTGCACTCTCCGGCAGCAAGTTGTGTTTTTTGATTATCGTCGTATCGTCGTCGTTTATAAATTGTTGTATATCGGTATAATACACACATCTAGCATACTCACATAATTACATACACACATACATACATATATATACACATATGTATGCATCGTATATTGTGTATATCGGTTAAAATCTACAATTTTGTGCGTGTATCTTAAAACTAATTTAAAGCGAGCCTAAAGTTCCAGTTTTTCTCAAAAAATAAAAAGTGAAGAAAAGCTAAATTTGTGTGGAAAATAAGTGAAGAATAATTTTGCGGCGGTCTCTCTATCTCACTCTTGCACTCAATCAAATGCAACTAAAGTAAGCAATGGTTAACTGAAAGAAAAATACTGTAACTGCGAAATACTGTGAATTCTCGTTGCTGTTGTTTTGTGGTTGTAATTGCATATTAGCATGTAAGGTGCCCACACCCATGGTCGATTTTTCACATTTACATGAACACACACGCACGCACACACACATGTATGTGTATGCACACTGACGATAGTAAAAACTTGGCTCAATGGGCTGCCCAGCGTCTCTGAGCGCATTTCTCTATACTTTGCTGACAAATGCCGCCTACACACACACACACACACACACACACACACACACACAAACACACACACAAACACACACGTAGCCGCATACAGCTACGTTTTGTGCAGCGCCGGGTGCAGTCGACGTTTAACCTAAAAAACGCAGTCGGCGTTGGCGTCGCTGCTTGCAGCTAAGCGCGCTCTTTAGCTTACGCTCTCCCGCTCTCTGTGTATTGCATATCTTGAGGCGCGCTCAGCTGACAGCTGCTGCCGCTGCTGCTAGTGCCGCTACTGCTGCTGCTGCTAGTGCCGCTACTGCAGCCGTTGACTGCGCTGCGGCTTCCTTTGCTCTCTTTCTTTCAATATTTTCATTCTGCCGCACCCAAAAGCAAAGCGGCCTGGCTATCCTCACGCTGTCTGATATTCCTTCTTTCTCCTATTTCATCATCGGACTTCGGTTGATTTTAGCTCTTGCTTTTGCTGCTGCCTGCTGCTGCAAGGTGTGTCACTTTTTTGTTTTGTTCTTACGGTTTCTAGCCACTTTGCATTGCATGCCAATATGGGGTGGAGGGTGTTGAACCGTTAGAAAGCAGTGGCCCTTGCCATATCCTTTGCTTTGTTAGCGTCAATTAAGCGGAAACAATTTTAAACAATTTATGAATGAAAATTGCCGGTTTATGTTACACTATTTTTATGGGCGGTGCAACAGAAATGGGCGTATTCGACTGAAAGTGTATTCAACTCGGTTTTCGGTGTCATTTTGTTTTCCGTGCAAAACAGCCTAAAACGATGGAAATGATTTTAATTAATTAATAATCCTACAATTTTGACAATTGACCCCAAATATTTAAAGATTCTTTTTGTAGTTACAGATTCTTTTGTAGTTTCAAATGTAATTAATGTAATATATATCCAATTCGATACTAATTATATATATGCAAAATAATATATATATGGAAAACTTAAAGATTTTATCTATTTCGGATAAAGCCTATCAATTACCATAGCTAACTTCTTAGTTAACCAAAGGAAATATTCGTGCTTAAACTTTTTCAAAATTAAATCAAACTGTATATATATATATATATATATGTATGATTTCTAAATTTTGTAAAGAAATCATAAAAATATCCAATAACGATCTAATACATACTCAAGCACCATTTTACTCTTTCTGTTAATTCTTTTTATTCCATATTTAAATTTTCTTGATTATGTTGTGTTAAAACACAAAGTTAAGAAAAATCTATATACAAAGTTATTAAATACTTAAATAACACAAACCCAACAAATGTTTAATATCTAGTCCGATGAGTTATAGTAAAAGAATATCAAACAATCATTCATTCGTTTCGACTTTTGTCTGTTTTACATCTTTACATAGTCTGCTCAGTAAACTGAATTGTGATTGCCCAAAACTTTAAGGCTCATTGATAAAATTCTTTAAATATTTTATACGTTTGATATCGAATGCTTACAGCTGTTTTTGTATACAGCAAACACATTTCTTTTTTTATATGCATCGATGCATGCATACCTACATACTGTAGATTTGTACATACATAGATATCTAACAGCTGTATTGGCTCTGCTAGTTTGAGCATTTCGCATAGTGTAAATAGCATGCTTCTCTGTTACTACGCCATTTTACATGTAATCCAATTATTGCTCTGCGCTTTCCTCTCCTAATTTTGATATATGTTTATGTGTATGTACATACATACATACATTCATGAAATGAAAGCACTCTGATCTATACAACCACCCGCTAGGTCGCAGGCCTAGCTCTCTCTCACACCCACACTCAAACTTTCATGCACACGCATTAAAGAACTATGCAGAGAGCAAAGCCAAGTGCGCTCACTCTGCATTCGCATGTAGCCATGCTCTCCACACTCACATTTGCGCTCTCGCATTCTTCCTCTCGCTCTCTCTCTCTCTCTCTATCCCTTGGCTATGCAAGCAATGTGATGTTTTGACTCTTTGTCTTCTACCGCAGCGGAGATGGCATAAAAATACTTTACATGTCGCTCGCTGAATCAGTTTATTTCTGTTCTGTTGAGTTGCAGGAACGTGTTCTTTTTCTACTTTCCGTTTGATTTTATTTCCTTATTATTATTGTTATTATTATTATTGTTCTAATTATAATTATCATTATTGTTAAATATTTATTTCGCGTTCGGTTCGGTTCGCTTCGGTTTCGTTTGGTTTTTCGTTCCTTTTGCCGTTTAGTTAACGTTTTTCAAATACCAAGCAAAAGTAAAACATAATCAACGCCAATTAATTTGCATAAGTTATCGCCTATCTTTCGGTTTATTTTGTTTTTTTGATTGATACAAAAAAACACGTGAGATAAGCAATCCCCAAATAAATACAAATAATAATAATAATAAATAATACTAAAAAGTGTTTCGTAATCGCGTCGAAATCTAAAGAGCAACAAGTCTTATTTACATTTCTGAATTTTGGATTTGTTTTCAAATGCAAAGGTATTAATTGCATTATATTTTGCATTTTTGTAATTACTATTAGCAATGAATGGTGTGCCTCAGAATTTCAAATATTTTCTTTTACTTTTATACATTTCCCATTTTCCACTTAACCTCAAATAATGCGTCGCAGTAGCAGCACAGCAGCAGCGGCAGCAGCAGAGACAAAATCTTCATCGCCTTCGTTTTGTTATGTTAAAAATATTTCGTAAATATAATTCTTGGTACTTCTGCCGGCTCTCAATACATACATATCAACGCTGCCATATCAAAGCAGCGCCCACTCTGTCCCGCCCCCCGCTTCGCCCGATTAGCCCGACAGTTGTTTGTTTATTTTTAAAATATTAGTTTTTCGCACGATTTGCGCTGCTAGCGCATGCAAAAATGACCGAGGAAAATGAAAAGAAGGAAAATAAGAAAAAAGAAATAAAATAGAAAAATACACAGCAAAGGTGAAATTTGTCGAATTTATATATTGAGCGAAATTCGCATGGAACAAACAATCAAGTAGTGGGTGAAGGCCAAAGGCATTGAAAGTTTGCTTTATATTTAGATTGGATTAGCCCATATCTACATACATATATCATGTAGAACTATTGTGAGTGACCTATAGATGGAAGCATACTCTGCTCTCACGTTAACTACATATTTTAAGCTAATTAAAGTTAACCTATGTATTGGATAAGGACAGTGAAATTATATACAAACTCAGAATTTTATTTTGCAATAATAATATAGAGTAATCAATGATTCTGTTCTTTAATATTATACTTGGGATACACAAGGAAGTAACTTAGGGTATACAAAATATTACTAGGGTATTCGACAATTAATAAATATTGCATTCTTTTGATGCAAATAACGCAAAAATGTTTCTACCCCCTTGGAACAATCATTGTATTTGAAATGTTTATATGTATGCATTACATTTGGCTTATATCAAACCGAAACGAAAATAATAAATATAAAGGCAATGCAACCTATTGACTATAAGAACAACGGCTAATTGGATTGTTTAGCTAGACCTCAGATGAGTCAATAGAACTTGTTGGGCACTAAGAGAAAACAACATAAACAATGGAAACATTAAAATACAAGTGAAAGTATTCTCTTTCATTTAATTCTAATAAATTTTTTAGCTATGCAAGCATTTGCAAATTTCAATACAATAAATCAGCATTGAAATTAAAGTTACTTAAAGAATATAAAAAATATTTAAATCAAACACAATTCCTCAATACTAGAAACAACAAAAGGTATTGATGTATATTAGAGTTTTAATTAAACTATGCCTTTAAGTAAAGAAGCCTTACCTCTAACTTTTACATTCCAGGATCTCCAATAACTTAACTAGGGAAAAAGCTTTTATACAGTTGGGCTTTATTTAAAATTGAAATATATATTCACCATAAAATAATATTTCTAATCGTATTTCTACTTCTATCTATATATCGTACTTATACTATATGGTACCACATGTATCTATATTTATCTACTGCTAGTTTATATACATTGTACCCGAGTGTGATTATCCGCTTACATTGCCTTTGACCTATTTAAATTACTCGACATTTTTCGCAATTCTGTTTGCCTCTGCGCCAGCTCTTCAATAATTAGCTCGTGCGTCATTTTAATTACATCGATTTTCCGTCAGTTTTCGGATCTATTTCTTTGCGTACCCGCACACAGCAGCAACTGAAAATGGACAACAATAATAACAACAACACCGACAACAATTGCAAATAGACCACGTTGACATTTCTAGGTATTCATTAAAAATGTTGAGTTTCTGTTCTTACCTAGCCACAATCATGCACCACTCCGCTTCGCGCCCCCCTTATAGTTCGTGTCCCTGAGACCCCTGCATATAATTTAAATTAAATTAAAATAATTGATTTTACTTGCATTTCCTTTCGTTTGCAGTTAACTTTCGGACGTAAAATACATACAAAAATACATCTATATATATATATGTATAAACATCTATATATATATATATAACGTATACGTAGTGGGCACCCTTTAGCGCACTTATAACTAGGCTTTAGAAAAAGGTTCAACTTAAATCAATTTCTGTTTTCAACTACCATTTGCTCGTCTTGTGCGTATTGAGGTAAGTGTTTGCTAGAGCTGAACAACATATACATATATTATAGAAATATGTATATATTTTTTTTATTATCTTCCTTTAATTTTGTTTTTGGGTTTCTTTGCAGATTTTGAAACGCATTACAGCAGTATTATCTAAAAGCGAACTCTTAAATCTATTTTTATTTTCATTTCACAAGCAAGAAAGCAGTAAAGTTTTCACTTCATTTAACATTTATGATTCTTTTTATTATTTTATTGCCTCTCGATTTTACCAACTAAACTTTAACGCTGTGAGCTGAATGAATTTATGACTTTTGTCTATTTTAAAAAGTGTGTTAAAAGTAAAAAAAAACTTTTGGAAAGTTGTTAGATAAAATTGCATTTGATTTTCCATTTTCATTGAGTTGAGGATATAATTCGTTAGCTTATGTGAGCTTTTTTGACATAGAATGTTGAGCAAACTTGTTCTAAATATGTGTACATAAAAAAAAACTAATATAAAATATATACATTACATATAAATATAATAAAAATAATATAAAGTATTATTTAAAAATATATTAAAATAAAACCATTAAACCCTGAGGTATAAATATAATAATAATCCGAAAGAAATAATAATAAAATATATATATCATTCTGAACAACTTGGCTAAGCAATCTAATTTGCAATATGTATAAATGATATATTATAAATATATATGTATTTATACATAGAAATATATAGATTTTTGCTAATTTATATGTCAGTGGCTGGTCTATATTTTTTGTAGGACTTTACGTCTGGGCACTTATAGGCGAATGAAGAAAGTTGAATCATCTGCAATTTATATTGCTGCAGCTCAGTTTAAAGTTTAGTTGGAATTCTGTGACCTTGTGTTTTTTTTTTATTAGATATTATGTATTACTTAAGCTAATCACTTATATTTGAGCATCAAGTATTCTCTTTAACTATCAGCAGCATCGCAATGGTCGAGGGTCAGACAGCGGTTCAACAGCAGCAGCAGCAGCAGCAATCATCGGGCACTGGCAGCGCTAGTGCTGGCACTGGTGGTGGCACGGCTAGTGGCGCCTCCGCTGGCGCTGGTGTGGCCAACAGTCAGGCGCAGCAGAATGGTGGCTCGACGGCCACAGCAACTGCTGTGGCTGCGGCTGCTGCTCCGGCTGCAACAACCAATAACAATGCGGCGGCCAACAGCAACAGCAACAATAACAACAACAATAACAACAATGCCGCCACAAACAACAACAACAATAATAATAACAACAATAACAACAACAATAATAACAACAATAACAACAACAACGAACCGGATCCAAAAACCAATTTAATTGTGAACTACTTGCCACAGACGATGTCACAGGACGAAATCCGTTCATTGTTCGTCAGCTTTGGAGAGGTGGAGAGCTGCAAGTTGATACGCGATAAGGTGACAGGTGCGTATGTCAAACAATTAACAATTCACAGTCGACAATTGACAATGCACAATAATGAAACATTGCTTTCAATTAGGTCAAAGTCTGGGCTATGGCTTTGTCAACTACGTGAAGCAAGAGGATGCGGAGAAGGCTATCAATGCATTGAATGGTCTACGTCTGCAAAACAAAACCATCAAGGTGCGATAGCTAATTACAGATGACTGAGTATAAATGGCTATTCGATTGAATATCCCTCTGACAGAAATCTTTGTCAAGTATCTAACTAATAATTCGTTTCGCCCCCTTTTAGGTCTCCATTGCACGCCCCAGCTCGGAGAGCATCAAGGGCGCCAATCTATATGTATCGGGTCTTCCAAAGAATATGACACAGTCCGATTTGGAATCGTTGTTCAGTCCATACGGCAAGATCATAACTTCGCGCATACTTTGTGATAATATCACTGGTACGTTAATATCGATATATTGATATTATTAACCAAAGGCATGTTTCAGGCATGTCCACTCTCCTTAAATACTTTAGTTTTTCTTTATGCAGATTTTAGTCAACAAAGGTATTCCTTTAAATAGAACTGAATTAAAATTAATTGATTATTTTTAATTATATAAATGCCTATCGATGAAGCATGTTCAAATTATATTAAATTTAAATATTATTATTATATATATTTTTTTTTCTAAATTCTGCTAAACTTTCTTTTATGAGTTAGTTAAATATTTCTTTAAATAATGCAAAAAATTTGTTTTCCAATTTTTTTTTTCATGTATTTATTGAACTACCCCATCAAAAATATATCTATATATATTTCGATCAAAAACTAAATCAGATGAACATGCGGCGGGTAGGTTTTCACCTTTTGTTTAGCTGTTTAAATCGCATTTAATCAAATTCTCATTTTCACATTGCCTGACATTCATTTAATTAAGTTCAATATATTTATTATATAGTTTTGTTTAATTGAAGTGTAGAATAAAATTTAATAATACAACATGAACTAAAAATTCTCAGAGCAGCTAATGAATCTCTAAAGAAAAATAAATAACCAACTCAAATTAATTATAAATATATGAATAGGTTGAGGATTAAATAAATTTAACTTAAATATTTTAATTTATTCGTTTCCTTTTTTTTTTAATATTAATATCTTCGAAGAATTATATCAAATATTGATTAGATCAGCTTAATATTTAAATAAGTAAAAAAGTTCCATTAAAATATATAAATTATATTCATGGTCAAGAAAGTTAAAAAAAAAACCTAGAATTAGTTCAAACTATATTATATAATATATTCTAGTTGTACATGCCTAACTATTATATCATATTATTGCATTACTATTTTTTTAATTTGTTTATTAATGATTATGTTTTTATTTACCCTACCTGAAACTAAATCATCAACGACCAAATACCCGCACCACATAGAATCGCATGCTGAGCACCTAGATCGTATGTATACCCAATATATTGTTAACATTTATGATTTCTCTGGCCCATTCATACCGCTTGATGTGCTAGCTGTGACAACCAAATTATAGAGCAAAATATGTATATATTACTTGTGGCTAATCTATTTATATTTATATTTCGTTTAGGTCTCTCCAAGGGCGTTGGCTTTATACGCTTCGATCAGCGCTTCGAGGCTGATCGCGCCATCAAGGAGCTAAACGGCACCACACCGAAAAATTCCACCGAACCGATAACCGTTAAGTTTGCCAACAATCCCAGCAGCAACAAGAACAGCATGCAACCGCTGGCCGCCTACATTGCGCCACAGAATACGCGCGGCGGACGCGCCTTTCCAGCCAATGCGGCCGCCGGTGCCGCTGCGGCAGCCGCTGCTGCTGCCATTCATCCCAACGCGGGCCGTTACAGGTTAGCATGAGTAATGCAGCTGATCATTGTGGAATTGATGGGCGCTAGCTATAGGAGTCTTAAGATCGACAGAGATTCAGGAGTGGAATATGACTGAGGTTTAGGCTATTTAAGTGAATCTTCATGATGTGTAGATATTTAAGCACATATTAGGGAGATGAATATGGACAGAAAGGGTTTTTAGAGTTGATTTTTGTTTTAATATTTTGTAAATTCACAAACTAGTGAATGAAACTAAGATAGGGATAGTTCGATAGCGAATTCACTCATATGTAGTAATCCTAAGGATGGCAATCAAAATCTGACCCTAACAAATAACACGACCGGCCGCATCGAGTATTATATTCAATGCGACTTTATTGCAGTATTCAACGAGAGCAAGCTCTCTATCACAACACGCTCTTATATTACATACATACATATATACAATGGCATATTTCGAATGTCTAAGCAGACATCATGAAGATGTCTTCGCCCTTCAGGGCTACAAAAACTAAGCAAGATAGACAATACGATTACCATAATCGATCTACATAAATATTGTAAGGAGTTAAATTTCTTAGTATGATTTGAATTGGCTATTAAAATATAAATAGTTGATCTTTGTATGTTTTAGGCCTATTAAATCAGAATATCGTACTGCTAAATGGAGTATAAATTAGATAAATTGATTACTATACATAATAGAAATAGAATAGAAAATGCGATTATAAATACCACGACTTACTAAGATTACAATGAACTAATATGAGTATTCTCATATCTTGTGTCTTTCGTCTATTCATAAATAGGATCTGTTGAGACGTTAAATAGGATAACTTATGTTATTATATATATATCATTTGAGTTTGATTTTCAACTCTGAGCAAAAGGAGAAATAAATAGCATAAAGGCAGAATGTAGGAATGGTAAAATATTATTACTTAGTACAGAGACTATCAATCGCATTCATTAATAATCATAATTTCTACTCCAACTCACAGTCACAGTAATCAGAGTAGTGCTTTACATTATACAGAGGGTAGTGTTACATTCTGTATAAAAAAGTCTGCGGTATGAAAAAGTTGAGAGACTGACAAGTTCATTTTGCAAAGCTTTGACTCTCTTGCGCATACCATAAATAGCCGAAGGCATTATAAAAATTTCCCTGAGTATATTTCCCTATACCCATATGCTTATCGTATCTAATAGGAATAACTCTTTGCTAATTTGATTTTCCCTCTTTCTGCTACAGCTCTGTGATCTCACGCTATTCGCCGCTCACCAGTGATCTAATTACCAATGGCATGATACAGGGCAATACCATAACTAGCTCCGGCTGGTGCATTTTCGTCTACAATCTGGCGCCCGAAACCGAAGAGAATGTGCTCTGGCAGCTGTTCGGACCATTTGGCGCTGTGCAGTCGGTCAAGGTGCGTCTTCCAGTTTGTGTATATAAGCTTTGTTAATGCTAATGCTTTTCAGGTAATACGCGACTTGCAGAGCAACAAGTGCAAGGGCTTTGGCTTTGTCACCATGACCAACTATGAGGAGGCGGTGCTGGCCATCCAATCGCTCAATGGCTATACGCTGGGCAATCGGGTACTTCAGGTCAGCTTCAAGACTAACAAAAATAAGCAAACGTAATTATTAACCAAGTTGGCTGCTGTTGTCAATGCCAATGCGGCGGCAGCGGCGTTAGCTGCCAATAGTTTGGTGCTCAATCATAGTCACAGTAACAACAACAATTACAACAACCACATCATGAACAACATCAACAACAAAAGCAACAACCATCAACCATTTGGCAAATATGCTAATCACGGCAGCAACAACAACAACAACAGACAGCACAACAGCAATAACAAACAGAAACAGCAGACAACTTCGAGCAGTAACAACAACAACAACAACAACAAAAACACGCTGACAACAACAAAATCGAATGCAGCAACAACCACAGCGAGCAATCGTCACAGCAAACCGCCCACAAACAGCAACATAACAAGCAACAACAACAAGAGCACCACCTCCCATGCCACGCCCCACAGCGAAGGCGGCGCCAGCTCGACCAGCAACAGCAACATATTGAAAACCTCGACGAAATTCATCTACAATAAGCCGCAAAATCATTTCGAATTGCTGCAACAGCAGCTGCAGCTGCAGCAGGAGTTTGCCCAGTTCCTTACCAATGTGGCGAATAGTGCAGCTGTAGGCGGTAGCGTTGCCACGCCTAGCACACACATCAACAGCAACAGCAACAACTATAACAGCAGCAGCAACAGCAACAACAACCGCAGCAGCATCAGCAGCGGCAACAACAACAATGCAGCCAGCGGTTCACATGCAGCACGAAATGTAAACAGCTCAGCGTTGAGCAGCGCAGCAGCAACAGTTGGCAACAAGAGCAATCACGGTCATAACAAGAACAACAACAACAACAACTATCAGTCCTCATTCATGCCATCTTGGTCAAATTGGTTTTTCTAATTGAAGCCGATACGCACCGTCTGGTGAATGTCCTTTTTACATTTTTACATTTTGAACTATCCTTTTATTAGTTTGAATTCGATTTGATGCGTTTTTTTAATACCCTTGAAAATAGGAAATCAGGGTATAATTTTTTTTATATATATATTTTATTATGTTATATTTAAACCTTATATATGGAAAATTTTTAATATTTACTTTTACGAAAGTATATATATCTATATATTTTTTTTTGATTTTATTTATGTTTGAAATTTGTAAAAACACAATGCGAATTGTTTTTACTTAATTTTTTTTTTATTTTTTTATTTGTAACTTTGTTTTGTTTATTTTGAAAAACCAAAACACAATTAAAAATTTTTTTTTTTAATTTTGAATCAAAACCTGTTTTTTTATATAATTTATTTTGAAAGTTCATTACATTTTTTTCTCTCTCTTAAACAAACCAAATTCTCTTCATTTAATATTTCCTTTGACTATCCTTGATCTATTTGCCTTAACAGCAAATCTCTAGTCGCTACCAAAACAAAAAAAAAAAAAAGAAAAGAGAAAGAAACTTATGGTTAAGTTTTTGTTTGAAGAGGAAAGAACATATTCTAGAAATAGTTGAAAGGCTTTGGCATAATGAAATCTAGAAGAAGGCCAAACCACCAAAAACTTGACAAAGAAATGAAATAATTAAGCTTATTGATAATTGTAAAAAATTATAAAAATAAAATGAAACAGAACTGAATGAAATGGCAACGTTTGGCAAATGCTTGAAAGCATTTGCGGTTCGACTTGTGTTTATATTGATATATATAAATATATATGTGTAACTCTTGCTTAAAATAAAGATCATATTACATTATTATTATATATATTTATATATATTTATGTATATGTAACTTAAATATATATTGTTTATTCAATACTTTAATTATTCGATTCACAAACATCATCTAATCATTGTCATGTGTTGAAGAAACTTATCCTAATTCCTAACTATGTTTACGACTTTATCTGAATCTAACCTGACGAGCAGCAAAGAAATCGAATGTGCAATAAAGCAGAGAACGAAATCTATAGAAACAAAACAAGAAGAGCTAAATAACAAATACAGAGAATTTTTCGAATACAACGAATAAATGTTTAAGAAAAATTTAAAAGCTAAAATGAAATGAAAATATAAATTAAATAAATATAAAAACATTCTATAAATAATAAACAAAACACAATCTAACACAAAGAACCAGCTAAAAATATCTATGCACGCCATTCGAAAAATTGAAAAAAGTCAAAGAAAAATCTCTACAACAAAAATTCTTCTTAGCCTAAAACTTAACTTTAAACAAAGTGAAAAAATTACGTAAATGAAATATTGACAAAATGCGTTTCAGCTAAACGAATTTGTTTCAATCGAAAAAAGAAACCAAAAACCCGAAACAGCAATAATAAAGGAACAAACCTAAAAACAATATAAAAGAAAAAAATATATTGAAAACAAATTGCCAAATTAAATGTTAAAGAAATACTAAAGACGAACTCTTGAAAGCGGAGCGAAAAGGATTTAACTGAAAAGTGATTTGAACCAGATCTAACGGAACGTTTCGACAAATGATATAGATGCATTTAAACAAACAAAGACAAAGCCTGGCGAGAGATGGTGTGAGAGAGAAAGTATGATCAAAGTTTTATATAACACGAAAAAATGGTGCTTGAGAGATTTCCTTGCAGAGCTAGTTCAATATGCTAGCAAAACAAATTATATATATATACAAGAATATATATATATATATATATATATATGTCAAAAACTCTTGTTATCAAATTTTTTGTTTGCATTCATCAAGTCAAATCGGGAATTGGGAAACACATTCGCATTCATAAACATTTGATTTTCGTTCTCTGACCCGAGACGTCAACTCCTTTAATAATTCGCAATGTTAAAACACATTAAACTATGCTATATATTATATATATTATATAAATTAACTCTATATAAAATCTATAACTAAAAAAAAACAAGAAAGAAAAGTATATTATATATGATTAATAATATATTGATGTTGTGTATTGCAAATTTTAAATGTTTATACATATACATACATACCAGAACAAATTATTATAAATGCATATTAACTCATGGCATAGATCACAGCTAAAAAAAAAAAAAAAAAACAAAATACTTTCATGTATACGTCAAGTAAATTTATTGCAACTATTAAAAAAAAAAAAAACAAAATTTATTCAAATATTAACAACCAAATGATATGTATGTATATTTACGATTACGATTATTATGTATGTATGTGTGTGTAGTGCGCGTAGGCGCAATATTTGTAGAGCTCAATGGCTTATTTCCACATGAAAAGCAAGTGAAACAATCGAATCATTCAAATCATCCGAAACTAGAATATTTCAATCATTCGAATCACTTGAGACACTTCATGCGCAAATGCTTGACTGAAACTTAAAAAATAAAAAACCAAAAACAAATGAAGAAAAACTGGTTGCTTTTATGCGATTTATAAGAACAAAACCTTCCAAATTGAAACAAAACAAATGAAAACTTTGTAGAAAGTTCAAGAGAAAACTATAAGAGGAAAACACCAAGAAAACCTTTTTATACTAATCAGGTGCTCACATTTTTTTGTGCAGCTGCCATTTGGATTAGGGAAAAGGGGAAGCAGAATGCGTAATGCAATTAATATTAACAAAATGAAAAATAAAAGACAAAAACAAACAGCAACAAATAGAAGAACAACAAAAAGCAATCGATTATATACATTTTTTAAGACGAAAATGTTTTATAAAAAATAAAAAACATGAATATAAAAGAAATAAAACCAAGAAAGTATTTTAAAAATTTAAACATATACATGAATACTATATATACAATATATTATATTATATATACATATTATATATATATATATTATATATATACTTAACGGTATTGGTAACGAACAAAAACACCGCACAATAATATACAAAGAAAAGAAAAAGAAAACCGACAAAGAAGAGAAAGAATACGTAATGCAAAATCTCTGATAACAAATGAAAAACAGTTAAACTAATGCAAACAAGACTAAAAAAAATAAAATGAAAACCAAAACAATTAATAAATATGGAAAGCAAACGAGCAACTTTATAATTTTTACATAAAAAACTAAATAAAAATAAACAAAAACAAAAATGGAAGGAAAGAAACGCAATAATGTTAACATTTAAAGACGATGAAAAATAAACAGAAAACAAAGCGCATATCTTGAAAAATTAAGACGAAAAGACGAGAGAATTAGAAGTTGAGGAAATCTATTTAAAGCAAAGATACGAAAAGTTACCACAAATTTTAACTGTAAACCAAACAAAAGAAACAAAACCAAAAAGCATGATGGAGATGAATGTATGAATGAGAATATGGTACACTTTTATACTTTTACACCAGAAACAGAGATATAAGGAAATCTAGTGCATACACACATACACACTTACGTATAGAAGAATCAAGGATCTGGCGATCTAGTTGTCGTCTGGTTTTTCGTTTGTCGTTTCGAGGCACATTCGCGTTTGAAACCCAAAAAAGGTTGTGCAATGCTCTGCAGGCGGAACTGGAACTGGTTCCGACACCTGCACAGCGCTCTCTTTAAATGTCTCTCTCTTGATACACATAAACTCACACGAAAACATAAACACACACACACACACAAACACAACTCTTAAACTCTTTAACTAGTTAAAACTGATGAGCTGCATAGAGTCGAGCATCATCATCTGTGGGTAATGTTCTAGGTATTTAAATGATGTGCTATAAATTAATTAAATAGGCTTCTAGGCATAGTTTAACACAAACTGAACTGACACTAGTTGTTTATTTAAGTTAACTTTTCGCACAGAAAGAAAAATAATAGAAAAAAAAACTCCCCAACTAATATTCCGAAAATATTTTAAAGATTTGATTTTTAGCCAAGGCTTGAAAGTTTCAAAAAGAAAATCCCCCAAGCGAACCGATAGTATTCCTAAGCCTGTTTATTTTCGCTATTTTTAGATATTTCTTCAAAATTTTGCTCAAACAAATTCTAAGTATATAGAAATGTTGTACATCTTACTCATACCTGCTCTATTTACATACATCTAATTCCATACTTTAAAGATTTATTTTTTTTGTTTACGAAAATTTAAGCTTCTTCCTACACACAAGTATTTTGGTCTAAAGATTTGCAAAAAAAAAAAAAAAAGAAAAGAAAATATTAAAAGAAGAAAACACAAATAAAACATATAACTATCCAATAAAAATTTCGTAGTGCATGTCATCAGAAAAGTAAACAAGTTCTCTTTCTCTCTATATGTTTGCATTAAATGTTAAATACGAAAGTAAATTAAATATTTAAAACAATTATAAGAAACCAAAAAGAAAAAAAAAAAAAGAATATATATTAAATTAATTATGTATAAACCAAAACTTAGTCGAAAGAAAAAACAACTTAGTCAAAGGTACTAATTTTAAGCACTCTTGTTAAATGCAAATCGCAAACAGCATAATACTTATACTTCAATGATTGATTGATTGATTGAGTGAAGCGACCTTTGCTTTGGTTCTATCTAGCTCAAGCTCAACATTTGCATAATTTAATCAATTGCAATTATTTCAAATTATTATCGTCTATGGTTTAGCTTACGTATAGTATTTGAAGAGAAACGTACTAATTATGCCAGCATATATACATACATATATATACATACATACATATATATATATATATATATACATGTGTACATGTATGTGTATGTATATATGAATATTACATATGTGTGTAAACTACGCAAACGTTTTTTTCTCGTCGTTATAAACATAGTCAAAATATTGGTGGACCGTATCGTATTGTAGTAGCAAATATTTAACTTAATCATCTCAGATAACAACAGAAACAACAACAAACAAACAATTATTCCAATTTAATTACGATCTGCATATTTATCTATTGAATTATTGTCGAATTCTCTCATATATATATATATTTATATATAATATATATATATTGGCGCTGGATTTATTGCCACGCCCCCAACACACAGACACACTCACACACCCTCATCACACACTCTCCTTAAACAATTTTTCTTCAAATTTTCAATTCAATTAAAACTTTAACACAAAAATCGAAAAAATATTAAAAAAAAAAAGAAAAGAAAATATAATATAATATTGAAAAACAAAAATGAAACAAATTTATATAGCATATTTATGGTATACTCTGTGCAAGATTTATTAAGAATCAATTAAACTTCATTATGGATTACTCTGAGAATTTACAACAACAAACACTCACACGAAACACACAGTGAAGGCAACAACAACAACAACAATTTATTCAATAAAGCTATGAAATGATGTGTTTAAAAACATAATTTGCGCCATTTTTAAATGCCTAAGGAACCGCTACACTTATTAAATATTTAAGGAACTTGTTCAAGGAACAGCTGGGGTAAGTCGTATTTCCATATATTTTATTGGTGTTGGCTGTACTCTGATAAGTTATTTCCGTGTATCATATATACTACATGTATGTAAAGAAATATGCAAAATTATGAATATTTTTTTTAGTTAGTACAAAAATAATGGGATGCTTAAATGTCTTTATTGATTTTTCCAATTAACTCAAAAATGTTGAGGTTTGCGCAAGAATCAGCCAAAATGCCCTTATATATGGTGTTTGCCTTCAAATATCTGAACTCTTGTATATCAGCAGCTAAGAGCATATAGTTTTCTCTATCTAAATCTAAACTTTAACCTATGTCATATATATGTATATGCCCTGAAAATTTCATACCAATTGCAAATTTCTGGCACGCAAATATGAGCAGAGTTCTGGGAAAATTTCAGTTATGCATCATCATCTAAATAATTAAATAGTTAAGAGTTTTCCCGTGTGCCTCGTGAGGTAAATTACTAAATGAAGCTAAGTGAAATTTGACTATGTAAAGCGAGTTATGGGTGAGTGAAGGCATACATATATAGGGGCAGACTCACTCTGCTTTAAGAACGTTTCGAGGTTTTTCTGGCAGCGTGCACAAATAAAATGGCTGTCAAATTGGTGGAGTTAGTTGAAAATCTTTCGCTACCGTCTGCATATGCTGCGCTTCCCATTGCGCCACATTGCAATGGCTTTAAATGTGGGAAAGCTTTTAGGCGGCGACATAAATTGTGAGCTGGGGGAGTGGGAGCCGTGGAGCTGTGAACGTTCGCCTGGGCGAAATCTTACATAAATTTCGGTGCGGCATGCGGCATGCGGCATGTGGACAGCTTGAATGGCTGCGGCAAAGTGTGCAACGAGCAGTGCGATTTGAGGTTATGTAATATGGCTGGCATAGTTGAACAGTTAAATTACAAGCAAGTTTAAGGATCACGCTCGTAGAACTCGGATGGTATAAATATCCAGTTCTTGGCCAAATCGTTGAGAGCCTCCACCATCAGGCGACTGAGTATGGACAAGATGGTACTAAAAGAGAGAGAGAGAGAAGGAGAGATGTTTCAGTTATCGGAACTAGTTCCAGTTATGAGCCACTCACTTGTGATCCACCTGCGAATTGACATTGAACGCGGTCTGCGTGAGATCCGTCATGACGACTTCATCGTAGGTCTTGCTAAACTTGTTGC